TAACCTAACCCAACCTAACCTAACATAACATAACCTAACCTAACCTAAGTGTGGCAGTAGGGGTTTGAAATGCTGTTCAACTCACGGAGTTGTAACTGGTGTTGTCCTTGACGTAGCCAATGTCGAGGGCGATCTCGTTCCTGGCGTTGATGAAGTCCTCGTAGCTGGGATGGTGCTGTGTCTCCACGTGTTTGCAATAGGCCAGGGCCAGGTCTTGCTTCGGAAGCTGCATCATCAATTGCTTGTCGCGATACTTCTCACCCGGAGAACCAAGGCGGGGCACCTTGTTGGGCGGGAGCTGCTGGAAGTACTCCTCTATCTGAAATGTACCCGGTTAATGGATCATGCGATACCCTACCTGTTTGATCACAGCGGCTTCTCTTCGAAATATTATTCTGAATAAGCCCATCTCAGTAGCATTTAAAGATTCAGACCGTACCGCGAAGAAAACACCGCACTTCACCATTACAAAGATCGACTGGTTAACGCTGTTTAAGGAAATAATCGCTGTTTACGTTGAGAATCATAGTTCGTCTGATTAATATTAAAGCATTCAGTCCGTACCGCGAAGAAAACACCACACTTCACCATTACAAATATCAACTGGTTAACGCCGTTTAAGGAAATAATCGCTGTTTATTCTGAGAATCATACGAAATCCATAAATACAAATGGGCAAATACAGAAGTTAGATTTAATTAAAGCAGGTGGTACATATAGTTACCACAGGGCTTTAAACGATCAAGTGGAGGTTGGTGTTAATTTATTATGGTCAATCCGCTCTGTGACATATTCCTTTCTGAGATGCTGGCAAGTGAAAAATCAACATTTTTCGAAATTTAATCAGAAATTTGTATTAGTGATGGTGCAACAAAAAGGTTCAAAGCCTAACCAATAAGTCTTTTAATGAGAAAATCTGTGAACAATTTGGATCAAATGCAAAAAAAATCTGAAGCCGTAAATTATTTTCAGAATCTCGACATATGCAATTTGCGTTGTAGAAAAACTCCACGCATTCGCAAATTCTGTTCTAGATGGAATTGACTTATCAGCTTTACGATCCGTCTAACCTTATATAAACAGACACCCCCCCCCCCGCAAAGGTAAATAAGTGGAACCTAGGCCCGTTCGAATAAAACTGCCGAGTCTTTGCCAAGAACAGAATACCAGATGTCCATTTCGTAGTCAGTCACACAAAACCAAAATGGAAGATGAAAGGAACAGGTTGAAAAATAGCCGAGAAAAAATAACATAATAAACAAAAGTTCGATGCTGGAAGGCGGTAAATGTGCAGAACTCTTTGATCATCGTCCGTACAACAAACACAGTCTGGCGGTTCACGCACACACAGAAATAACAAACTTGAGGAATTCTCTGTGTGAACTTTGGAAAGCGTCTTCTTTGCGTCTACACTGACCTTGTGCGTCGGCAGACCCGGTGGAACCCAAGAGAAACCTTCCGCGATGCTCTTCTCTCTTGATGGCCTGCGATCCGGGTCTGTCGGGGACTTGAACCCGAGACGGTCCCGAACATTAACCCACTCCTCATGGTAGACGTCGTGAGCCTCCCGCGGACACTTACAGCTGTTGCAGGTTTTCCTGAAAGGAAATAAAACGAAAATTAATTTCAAGCGTCCATAAAACTGGGGTCATCATTACACGCATACGTCAGACGTGAAGAACTCAGTCCAGAGAACTTCTCTGTTCCTTACTCAGGTCTGACTTTATAGGACGAAAAACCTATTCTGTTCGAAGTTTTTCATTCGCAAATTCCAGTCTAAAAGCTTCGATGTAAATACAAATTAATCACTTCTACCAGGACATTAAACAATATCTGCAGGCAGCTTCAGGAATCGATTATGTCGAGTCGAGTCGAGTCTTCAGAGATGAAATTCTTGCTTCAAATGCACATAACACAAATAGGTATTGGTAATTATATGTACCACCTACTTTAATATTACCCCGGCATCTTCCCCCTTAAAGGTTTCATTTTGTTCTTATTAGAATAAACAACAAATATTTTATCATCATTCAAAGGCCGAACTTTGTAATGGTGATACGGTCTGTCCCGATAGAATGCAGGAACCAAATTATTAACTCTTTAAACCCCAGTGGTAACTATGTGCACCACCTGCTTTAATCAGTAACTATTTGTTTCGCCTACAGTATATTTATGTGTTTCGTCTGATTCTCAGTGTAAACAGCGATTATTTCCTTAAACAGCGTTAACCAGTTGATCTTCGTAACGGTGAAGTGCGTTGTTTTCTTCGCGGTACGGACTGAATTCTTTAATATTAATCAGACGAACTATGATTCTCAGTGTAAACAGCGATTATTTCCTTAAACAGAGTTAACCAGTTGATCTATGCAATGGTGAAGTGTAGTGTTTTCTTCGCGGTACGGACTGAATTCTTAAATGTTATTTAGACGAGCTTCGGCTTCAATGAGTTGAATAGTAATAACTTGAAATTTGAACCACACTGATAACTTAGCGACTTCAATTAATTCAATAACTCTTACATTTCCGTACAAATACTCATCATTTCTCTGTTACTTAGTCAACGTCTTGATAATAACAAACTACGTCACGGTTTCTTACCTGACCGTACACGTTCTACGAACATTCGTGTGGTCACCATGGTTACCAGGCAAAATGAGTGTATATTGGTGTAACCCCACAAATGTCAGATGCCAACACCAGCGGAAATGCTCCCTGTAGACAGTCTCAGATGTCCTATTTTGTCTCCAAATGTATCAACGCCTGGATATTTGCTTGTGGGGTCCCAATTAAGTCTCCTTCTAGACTGTCGTCCCCTGGATCACACAACGATGCCAAGAAACACAAACACTGGCAGTATTGGTCCGACAGACGACGGGACAGACACAAATCATGACTAACAAGATGTCACTCCTCGGCTAATTCTTGTTAAACTTGATATTCAGAGTCTCTAACTCCTGCCAATATTTTTCTACGAACCTCTCTTCATTCTGAATCCAATTATTTTGAGTAGAACACTTCACTTTGACTGTCAAAATGACATATGAGAGGCAGAGATTCTGATCCTCATTCGTAATATCCCGAGATCGAATCCCTGGGCCTAACATATTCAATGACCACCTTACGAGGCACCACTTAAAATAAAGACATTTCGGCAAACATTGAATAAGTTAATAAGATACCCTACTGAAATCGATTCTATGTGAGATACGAGGTTCTCAAAGTGGTCAAGATGTCGATGTTGGTCTTCTGGGTTATACCAGCCCTGAAGATGGAAGAAGTATGTTCCTCCGAAACGTCAGTGTCTACCTACAAGTTCACACGACTTCATAGCCCAGAAGAATTAACATCGACATATTCAATGCCGTGAGAACATCGAATATAATATAAAGACGCTTTGTTTCGACGAGACAAGAGTAAGGACCTGAGAAAGGTTGATGAGACGACGGACTAAGATACTTTTTTTGGGGTCAGTACACTGACCAAGCAATTTCTCTGAAGTGGTCCCACAAGTGTCTTAAATTCAGCGATCTATATAGAGAATCTTTCCTTTCCATCCCATAATTGGACACGCTGAAACAAACACATCAGTAGACAGGAAGACAGCCAGCTACTTGAATAAAACATCTCTTTCCGTGTCAAAGGGTCGTAAGAGTTCCCCGATTCACCGCCTACGCCCAAAGAGAACTTCAGTTGACGTTTACAACCACGGAAATTAACTCCTGTGTGCAGAAAAAGGATCTGTCGTACGCTGGATTTCCATTCCTCGACGGATTGGTACAGAACTACGCAATAAGCCACATACCACCCTACTTACAAACTAACTCTATGGAGCAGAGACGAAATTGAGAAGTTAACAGCACAATCAGATAGTCAAAAAAAAAATCCCCCGCCTTTTACACAAACGAAAGGTTCATTACCGTGTTCACAAAAACCCGCCGCCATCCTAAGCCAGATGGATCAATTAAGATTTGAGATTCTCACGGCTCTGAGTACTAAGATGGCTGTCTTCTGGGTTGTATCGTCATGGCGATGAGTACTCATCGTCCTGATGATGGAAGTAGCACGAACGTGGGAAACGCTGGTAATCAAATTCACATTCATCGACCTATTTTCCAAAGATAAATTCAATATTATCCTCCCATCTACGTCTAGATCTTCCAAATGGGCCTCTTTCCTCGAGGCTTGCACAACTAATTCGATCTCCATCCACACATCAGACACAAAGTGTTAAGTGTTCTCCTGCTTACCAGCGCACTTCGTCGATGGAGCGAAGTCCAAGAGGGCAAGTGGAAAATATAACGTGACAGCAAAATTGAAGCAGACTTAAAATACATGCAAGGAATGTTTTAAATTAATAGTGAAACACAAACTTCAGACACAAATCGCGGGGATTAGTAGGAACTGTTATTAATTATGTGGGCGAAAATACAAAAGGAAAAAAAAAAACTTTGTAAACAACATTATATGCAACCAAAGTGCAATATTGTTTACCTAATTATCAGCTCATAAAGTTCTGCCTGGTTGAACACTTTGCAATACAACTCCAAAACACGGATACAGGCATGGCGCATGCCTGGCCAAGGTATGAGAGTTGTATCCAATCCTGCCGACAGAG